TTTTTTCTATCTCTATTTATGGGTCATCATTTTCAGTCCAAGGAAGAAATGCACAAATTCCACTCCTCTCTGCTTCCTTGTTTTAATACTGTCACTTTCTCTGCAATGATAAAACAAACTTTTTAGGAGGGCCTTTTTGCACTAGGACAAGAGGTAGGGTTTTAAACCAAAAGAAGGTAGATTCAGACCAGATATAAGTAAGAAATATTTTATAATGAAGGTGGTGAAACACTGGAACAGGTTGCCCAGAGAGGTGGTGGATGCCCCATCCCTGGAAACATTCAAGACCAGGTCGGATGGAGCTCTGAGAAACTTGACCTATTTGAAGATTCCCCTGCTCATTGCAGAGAGATTGGACTAGATGGCCTTTAAAGGTCCCTCCCAACCCAAACTGTTCTATGAGTCTATATTTCTATTCCATATTAAAGGCTCAATTTTTTTCATTAAGCACCCAAGTATATTAAATACATTGATGTGCATGTAACATTGGCAGGCTGTCTGCATATATGGAGGGGGAGAGTATGGCCAAGCATTTTTGAAATGTTTTAACTATAGCACATATGGTATATACTAAATATAAAAAATACATTGCTAAGTTATAGTATATAGGAATTTTATGGCAGACTCCAGATACAATAAACTACATCATGCGGCTTTTCTGACATTCAAACTCCAGTGCATAAATCAAAAAAACGATTTATCCCTTTCAGGTAAATGAGTGAAATATGTATGCACAAAACACATACCACATACCACAACTGATGAAGACAGCCAGGTAATGTTTCTTAACCTTACCACCTCCTGAGGCATTTCTGCTGCCATAAGAAAGTCACTGTGGGGCACTATAGTCCAATATACCAATAAGGATGATAACACAGAGCAATATATAATTTAATTAAAATTATTTTTCTTAAAAGATTATAGGCACTGGTTCAGAGAAAGCACAGCCTGATGGGATGAAAAAGTCTTTACAGAAGTCTACACCATTCAGTTGTGAAAATGGGGAATGGGATCAGGACTACATGAGAAAAGTGATCACCAAAAAAAAGGGAGAAAGTAGAAGAGGTATATCTATATTCTACACTATTATAAAATATTTATTCAATATTTTATGAGGTATCCTGCACATAATCTTTGCTGCAGTTGATCTTTATTTTAAAGTCATTCACTGATGTTTTAGTCCTGCCATTTTTTATCCTTTATCACTTTTTGACTGTTTGTTCCTCTGTATATGCTTACATTGTCTTTTTTCGTCTTTCTTATGCCTGTCCTTTTCCCAATCACCCTGAAAGCTACTCCAGCTTCTTTTTTTTATTTTATTTAAACCAGAGTTGGAAGTCAAATCCCAAAACAATTTCAGCTTTTAAAACCAGGCCTCAGTTTCATAGCTTACTTTTCATCTTCTCTCTGAGTGGTAAGTTCAATAGAAAAAGGTACAGAAGATGCACACCGCCTGCCAGCTCATGTCCCTAAAGACATTGTCTGCTTTCAAGTTTCTTTTTTCCTAATCTGGGCAACAAATGCTCACGAATTTAATGCCAACTACTGAGAATTGAACTAGTCCACATATGATAACATTTTCCATGGTGCAAATGATGGTGGTTTTTGTTTCTTTTGGTTTTCTTTTTGCTATGCTTATCTACCCTTTTGCCAGTCCTCTCACTACCTCATGTCTCACAGCGCCCACCTGGAGTCAAAGGTACCAAAATGCAGCTTCATGCAAGCAACCTATAGGTAATAACTCTCAACAAATAGTGAATAGGGATGTACGGCGAAGAATAATTCAGCATGGTTTGCTATTATCTTTCTTTCCTTCACACTATCTGTGTTTTTAGAACCCTCTAGATATAAAAATACATTCCTGGTTGGGAGCTGTATCAAATTTTCATGTAAAGTCACAAATATCTTTTGCACCATTAGGATATTATACTGTATGCCTTTTCAGAAAAGGCTCTGTACTTTTCAGTCAAGGTGTTAATGCTTTAAAATGGGTCAAACTTTTGCTGTTTTTGAACAACAGGGGCTTTTTTAGAAACATGATTTTGCAAATACCTGCTGGTCTATTCATTGTCAAACAGGACAAATCTCATTCCATTTCTAATGGTTTATCATTCATATGAATAATTCATTAATTGTCACAGCTAGTAAAAGGATATTATGAGAATATCTGCTGTATTCTAGGTGTCTTTCAATAAAAGTGAACAGCTGAAAAAGAGGAAGATAAACTGAAATTACCAAAATGGATATATAGCTAAATTTTTTCTGGGAAATTGTTCATTCAAGACACTCTGAATTTGTTTGGAACTATTATGCTGACCTTTGATTGAGCTACTTTTCAGAAACTCAGATTACATTTCAGAAATTCACCAGCAAGTCACTTGAACTCAAGAGCAACTTGTCAAACAGAAAGTTCAAACTTCAGCTGCATGTGTGGAAGCAGTCCAAGACAGAGACATCTGATATTTAAGTAAGACAAAATAAACCTTTTCTAGAAGTGTGGAAAGTGCAATACTAATCCAACTCGGATTCAAATGTTGAATCACATGTACACAAACATGACTATAGTTCCCCTCAGAATAAACCACACAGAAATATTTTTATTACTATTTATGCAGACTCATATTAACTGCAGAGGAGTCAGGATTCCTTGCTGAATTAAACCAGATGATTTCCAATTTGGGGCCATACTGTATTCTGTCATATTCACAAATAGATTATGTTTTGGATCTGCAGATATGTAGCCCATAATTACTAAATTTATCTAGGGAGATGGATGCGGATGATGGGAATTGTTCAGCACTTGCTTATTGAAAGACTGTTTTGGGAAATTAGTCACAATCATTTATCATTTTCAGATTCCAGAATGTTTCATTTCATAGTGAGTATAATGCAGTATAAACCCAGGTGCTGCAATTTGCTATCCTCTCAAATTCTACCACAATTTTTAGAACAAGTCCTTCTCAACCTGAAGGCATAACAAAATGAAATTGGAAAAAAAGGGTTGCTATCCAGAAAGACATGAGAGATTTGAAGTGTTAACAAAAAAAATAACAAATTATTTTTAAGTTCTCAAATCTCAACGAAAAAGAAACCTATGGATATTCAAAGGTATTATCTGATTTTAACACAAGCCTTCCTGTTTCTCCAGATCAAAATCATACTGTTAGAAACTGGCAGAATTAATAACAATAACTAATCATTCATAGTCTGTATAGATTCTTGTAATAGAAATATATTGACTTAATTGAAGAACTGGGAGAAAGATGAAAAAGAAAGCATAATAAAGATAAACAGTAAAATAAAGTTAACTGGTGAAATCCCTCCTGCACTCATGTCAAAGGCAAAATCACACATCTTCATCACACAGGTAAAATATAAATCTTCAGTTTTGTCCAGTTTTGTCCTATCCAGCACATATAAAACTAGTGAGGAGACTGAACTGCCATGTGCTCTGTGTTGAAATTAAAATGTTTGTCTTTATTATTAACATTAATATTTACTATATTAATACAGTATATTATTATTTATTATCCTATCAGCATAACTAATTACTTTTTTCTATCTTTGCAAGTTGCTAAATATTCATGCTATAATGACTTGAAAGAAGAATGCTCTCTGGCAACTAACTAAAATAACGGGATAAATCAGTAAGAGTGGAGAGAGAGGGAAGAAAAAGAACCAAAAAAATTCCAAGATCCTAATTTGAATTTATTTTTCTATGCAACATCCGCAGATCATTTTTGTCAACAGTACATAATTATACTGAATCAATTAATATAAGTATCACGCAAAACAAAGACCAGCCACTGCCCCCATGATAGTATTTTGATGAACATGCAATGTTCACCTCTTACTACTTTTTCTGTGCATTCATCCCTCTTATTCGGTTGGTTTTTTGTTGTTGTGGTTTGGTTTGGTGTTGTTTTGGGGTTTTTGGAGTTTTTTGTTTATTTGTTTGTTTGGCTGGTTTGTTTTGTCTTGGAGATATTATCACAGGAAGTTCTTTAGTATACTAAATGCCATAAACAGACTAGGCACCCTGACAGATAATAGCTTTTAAAGGCCCATAAAATAACTGGAGTGGTACAAAACTGCTCTGGTAGTTTCACTTTCCATCCCTGACTGAGCCTCTTCCTTCACTGTGAATTGTCAGCAATGCAAACTGTGAAAACTCGTCTTGTCCTTTAAAAGCAAGCGGTCAGGCCCTCAGACACTGAACTGGAACTTAAAAACAGGAGCAGATAGTATCAAAAGGGAAATAACTCAATATAACCTTTACAGTTCTGCAGCCCTGAGTCAAATTTTATTTGGGTATTGTTCTAAAGAGAGATAAAAATGTCTCATATTAATTCCTTCTTTTTTGTTTGTTATGTTTTTCCACTCTAGCAACTCCTCGAGCAACCAAAGTTTATGGCAGGGAATACACTGGCCTCATGACATGAAGTGCTTTCCTCTTCTGGCAGACATTGTCTGTTCAGTTTTAAACCAAAAACTTTACTGCAGCTGCTAAATGCAGGATGTCCACAAAGGGGATGAACCTGGCTGAAGAAAAGCCAGGAGGAGACAGTAGATGTTTTACCAAACTTATGTTACTCACCTTAATTTGACCTTGAATATTTTCCAAGTGCAACAACTTGTTTCATACTGTACTCAGTTTGGCAAGGTAATTGGAATGGAATCATTTAGAGTTTCAGCTGGGTAACTTTAGCTAACAGGGCAGCTGAAGTTGCCCTTTATCAGTTCATACATTTGTGTTAACTAATTTAGAATGTATTTGTGGAAGAAACGGGTTCTAATGTGTTTGATTCACTCTGAAATGAGCTGTACTGAAAAAAAATTTTATTTTGTGGAAAATGCTCCATTGTTCCGGTATTGATAAGCTTAAGTGGGACACTCCAACACCAACTAATTTCTTGGTAGAATGGTGTACTTAATAAAAAGATGAGGCAAGAGGAAGAAAATACATTCTTGCTAGTGCAGAAAGCTGAGGATCTGCTTACCAGCACTGTCACCACACGCAGAACCACTCCTCGCATGTTATTCTCCAACTTTCTGTCTGTTAGTGACCCATTCAGACCAGTGACAGGATTCCAGCAGCCGAGCTAAAAGAGAAAACATAAATAATTTCCTCATTGCCCATAAAAGTTTGCTAATCATTCCTCTTAGTTGGCTTTAAGCAGAAACATGTGTAATAAACAGAACCACCCTCTGGAATCAAGGGGATGGAAAACAGGGAAGGGTTTGTGGGCAGATTAATCTTTAAATTGAAAATTAAGCAATTAGAGATATCAGTTTGCACTTTTAAATACCAGTGTGCAATGGATGACAGTATCCAGGATTTGGGGTTATATGCATTGCTTTAGAAGAGCTCAGGAAGGACTTCTGCATTACTGAAAAACATTTAAAAAGTACTATGGCTGTAACAATACTTCTACCTTACTTTCAGTTATACATTAATGAAAGAAATAATAGCTACCATAATTTTAGCATGCTGTCAGCTTCAGCCCATCTTTCCTAGTGGAACTCTGACAGAAGGAATTACACTAGTTTTAATTAAAGCTTATACTACTACTAATTGCTAATGAAACAGCGGTGATTTAAATCCAGGTTAAAAACCACATTTAAAGATGACTGAAAGATCATCGGATAAGCACATCACAATATTGAGAAAGAAATGCAATAGATAGTGCAGAAAAGAAATTCAGCTATGGCATTGTTTGCATTGGTGTTACAGTATTTCTTGGTCTTCTGTCAATGGAAGCTTTTGCTCAGGAATCTCTTTAACTAACTGTCTTTCAATCTGAGCTTAGTAGATAGTGACTAGTAATTTAGCTTTTCTGAAAATATAACTTGCCTACATTTTTATATGTTGGTAGATGCTTATCTTGGGTACAGAGAAACAAATCCATCAATCACATATCCCTTAGCATCACATACAAACATAACCAGTTTTGGTTTTGAAATTCATTACCCCACTCAGCTGGCCTGTACAATTACCAGTGTTAAATCCAAAAACCAAAAGAAAGACAATGACTGACTTCAGAGGACTTTGAAGCAGAGTCTTAATTATGGCCAGTGCCTGTGTAAAGCTGTTACACAGCCAAAGAAACAGACACCTGCAAGTACAAGTTCTTGCTCTGAATTGCCTTCTCCATGGACCTTGCATGAAGTCTTTCCAGGGATGCTCATCCTCTGACTCAGTAGCTACCCTGAGCCTCTAAACCCAGGTGGTTTTCATGTCCCTATTTAAAGGAGCAAAAGGTCGTGCTCCCTCTGAAAAACCAAGACTGACATCAGCAGGTTCCTGCTGGGTCCAGTGGCCTCTACTAAGACTACTCTCTTGGAGAATTCAAAACTGTAAAACACCTAAAACATTTATGCAATTTGACACAGAGTCACAGAAATGGCAATCTCAAACCATCTGAAAGGGTCTGTAAAGAAGGGGACTACCTTTGCCGACTGTGCTAGAACAGAAATTTACAGAAATCATTATTTTCAGTTCTTCATGTGAAAACTCTCTCTATATGTGTTTCACAGACCTTTCAAAGTGAAACAGAAGACAAGGAACAAACTTTAAGTAAACATATTTAACAATTTCATAAATGGATAATTTGAAATATTTGTTTTCTTCAGTACAGCCATTACTTTAGAGCAACTTCCAAATTTTTTGATTTCAATATATTCATATAAATTCTTTGAAGATACCTCCTTAAGAAATGAGTGTCTCAAAAAGTATAGAACACAAGTTTTCTGCAATGATATAGAAGTTAGGTTTGACTCAATGATCTCAAGGGTCTTTTCCAATTTAAATGATTCCATAATTCTATGTAACCCAGAAGAAGATGGCCTTAAAACAATGAAGTAATTTCTCTCTGCCATTTTCAGAAGCACTCAGAGCTGTCCTAATTCTTGCCATTTTGAAGACAAGGTTATACTACAGTCAGAGAATGAGCAAGGATAATGATGAGTAATAACTGAATCAAGGATCTACTGGATTCAGAAAACCATCAGAAATCATTGAAAGCAGCGACAGGATACAAGGAGGAATAAAAGTATGAGGCATCATATTAATTACTCATCTTTCCAATACCTATTTCTAAATAAAAGAACAAATAATCACTTCTTGGTTTCCTCACTTCATGTTCCTATCTGATCACAAAGACCATCAACAAATCACACTAGCCATCTCTGCTTCCTCTGTACCTCCATGGTGTATCTGCTCACACATGTTCACAGTGGTATGGATGGACTGCTGACATGTTCCAGGTCCTCATCACTCCTCTGGCAGAGCAACACCTTGAGATGAATAACCTAATTGCTGAAGTGTATTACCTGTAATAATGCAGTGAAATGTAGCAAATGTACTTGAAGTATGTGCACTGTACACTGTATGTGATGAACCACTGCCGTCCTATAAAGCAAAGCATTTGACAGTCTATGCTTTCCATACTGAAAATATTGGAAACAGCATTCAAGTTCAGAAGAAAACTGCATTAAATTAATTTGGCGATTGTCATTCTTAGTCACACAAAGAAACTAATTAGAGCTTAGATCCAATTAGCATATCCAAATGTGCTGGATGTATAATTACTGCAGAAATGGTGCTGCTTTTGCCAGAATTAAAACCCTAGGAAGTTACTGAAGAGCCTTTGTATGCTTTTGAGGTTAAAGTCCATTTTTAATTATGTACATTATTGTGCACGTATTTATATAATTAAATTTTTAGCCTGACCCATTCTACCTTTTTAAGGATAAAAAACCCCACCAACATAAGTGATTCCTGGAAATTCAGCATAGCACTGATTTTCCTTTAAAAAGGCACTTTTTACTTTCAATTATTGTTCATTTAATTTTCCATTCAATTGTTCCTTTACGCAGCACAGTCATGGCAAAGACAAATGTGCAGTGTCTTGCCAACAAAGTTGAAATTGATTTTGAGTGAGAGCTGCTTACTGTTATTGGGAGAAAACAAATCAACATTTATTGATGACAATTTGAGCTTGTCATTGCAGCATGGAGCAAATGTAACTATTGCTGAAGCAGCGAGATGGGGGTGATATGAAGCTATCTCTTCAGCTTTATGTCTCACTTAACTGCTTCTGCAAAACATTTGCTGCTTTTGCATTTACTTCCTTTTTCTTTTGTCCAAATAGATAGTTCAAATGAGAGAACAGATCAGACACTAACAGAATCTCACATTAACTCTGGTGGATTTCTGTCGATTGGTGATGGGAACTCTCTATTGGGCCCTGTGCTTGTCATCTTTATACCATATGAACTTTGTCATTTATAGTGATTTGTACTTCTGTTGTCGTTTCTTTTATTTATTCTAATGACAACTTTCATTCTGCTAGATTTGATATAATATGATGAAGATGGAAAAGTTGTCAGTCTTCTATTTCCTTTGATATCTAATTTACGATCTCTTTCTGGTCGTCCCACCTCCCAGCTGGTTATCCCCATTGTCATCATTATTGGAATGGGCTTTGCTCTCCTGTTTTGCTGGCGGAGCCGAAAATTTACCTCTCTTCTTTATTAGAAATTTTTGCCCATATAAACAATGCATTAAGGAAGTTCTTCAATTTGTATATCAATATTAAAATAGGAAAAATCTATTTCATGTGTATTTGTAATTTCCAGGCATTGATTTATAGGGAACTTGGAACGCTAAAATCTATATTGCCTTTACGACAGAGCTTACAGCCAGTTTTTCTCCCCTACTTCCTATGAAATCAGTGAACTCTGAAGAATAATTGAGAGCTTTTCCTTTCATTTCTGGCAGACTAAAAAGTAGATTAAAACTGTGTCAATTAATCAAGAAAAATAAATTGGACTGGTATGATCACAGTTGAGGACAATCACAGAAAATAAGTAAAACCCAAATACTGATAAAAATGCATAACTTAAGTGCTTGTCACTACATCAAAGCATAGAGTGTTCTGTTACTTCAATTAATACAAGAAATATACAGGAACTGGTTCATCCAACATTGCAGTACAACCACCTCTGAACTCAGACTGCATCACAGCAATACTACTAACAGTCAAGAGCAGAAAACACTCTAGAGAAGCTGCAGTGGAAATCTGAAAGATAAAACAATGTTACATCTGCAATTGAAATCTATAAGGATACCGGGATTAGTGACTCCTTTTTCCTTTATTTCCCTGGTATTTAAAGAAACAAAACAAACAAACAAATAAAACCCAAAAGAACAATATCTTGGGTTTAGTATGGACAGCCTGACAAAACATTTCCAGTGGAAATGCCCACCACAGAGCACTGTTGAGGAGCTGTTCCATTAACAGCTTGTAGAGAGCTGGGTATTCACAGAAATACCAGTCTCCTTGCCACATATTCTTCACAAACTCCTTCCTCAATTTTCACCCAGGTCCAATCTGCTTTAAGAACTGACTTTTACCAAGATGTGACTTCAACAGAAGAAATGTGCGTCAATAATCCCCTTTTCCATCCCAAAGCATAATAATTCACACAAATGAAAAAGACACCACAAAGCTGTCATGAAACAGCACTCAGCTAGAAGATTCTGAATTCCCAGGGGTATTGGGAAGACTCAAAATAGGATGCACACACAAAAAAAAAAGATTAAAAAAAAAGGGTTTAGACAAACTTCAAGCAGGACAACATAGAAATTGTTTTGCAAAGAGTATTTCTGATGCGTTTTGTCAGCTGTTGTTTAATAGGACCAAAAGTAACTGGGAAATCAGAGACTAAATCCTATTGATGACAGACTATGTCCTACAGAAGAAACACTGTAAAAGAGACCATTCAGTGATCAATCTGATACTATCAGTTATGTAAAATTTAGTCAGACACTCTGTCACCTGGCTAAAAAGTCCTTTCAGTTCAGCTCTCTAGCCAGCAAACAACAGTTGGTCAACCAAATCTGGCAAAAATTCTGATGGCCAGAGATTTACTAAGGGTCTTTGCACCCTTGGACTTGATTAAAGAATCAAGGATCAGTTTTGTTCTTCACACCGATTTCCTAATACAATGGGTTAGCAAGAAAGCTTTCTGTGTTTAACTGCTACCTTCATTGGAGCCTAGGTAATAGTAAGCAAATAATAAGGTGTTAAAATCAATA